GAGAAGCAGGCTCCCCACCGAGGGGCTCGATCCCAGGACCCTGGGATCATGACCTGAGCCAAAAGCAGATGCTTAACCTACTGAGCCACCCAGGCGCCCTGACATTAAAATTATTGAAGGAGGGAGGTGGGGCTGTGCATCAGGGAGGCAGAGAGCCAGGGAAGCTGACATCTGTATGCAAACCCTGGTGGGTGGGAGAGAGGACTCCCTACCCCGGGGACAATGAGCTTCGTGGAGGGGGAGAGTTACATGACCCAGAAAGGTGCACCATCACCCAGAGGGGGTGTCTCTGGCTGGGCTTGGTCCCCCCCACCCCAGCCCTTGCCACTCCTTTACTTCTCTACTTCTTTCTCTAGTTGGAACTCGACACAGAGTACTCAGACCCCTTTGATGCCCAACCTCACCCACCACCTTCAGATGATGGTTACATGGAGCCCTATGATGCCCAGCGGGCCGTGAGCGGTGAGTGAGCGGAGCTTGTGGGAAGGGGACCGGGTCCCCGGTGGGTGTGGGAGCTGACCAGTGTTCTTGGCCCCCCAGAACGGCCATGCAAGGGGGTGCAGCTGTATGACACTCCCTATGAGGAGCAGGACCAAGAGCCAGGAGATGGGGCCCCTTCTGGGAGGAGACCTCGCCAGAGCCGGCTGCCTCAGGAAGACGAGCGGCCTGCGGATGAGTATGACCAGCCCTGGGAGTGGAAGAAAGACCACATCTCCAAGGCGTTTGCAGGTGCCCCTCCGACCCAGGCCTTGACCGTCCCCAGGCCCTGAATGTCCCATGTCCTTCGGTTTCCTGCTCTGGTCATATCCTCTGATTCAACTTATAAAATAGACCCTAATCACCTGCCACTCTGGTAGTTTATTCATTCTCACTAAAGTGTGAATGGCTGATAATCGTAAATTTCTCTTTCTAGGAGAACTTGTATCTTCCTTGAGGAGAGAAACTCCTTTAGGGCACCTGTAGTGCTCACTGTAATACAGGGATAGGCTTTGGCATCAGGTAGACCTGGATTTGTGTCACTTACTTGGAAAACGTGCTTTATCTTTTAGTCTCGGTTCCCTTACCCATCAAATGGGGCTCCTTATAGCAGCTACAGAACAGGGAGCATGTCAACTGGGTGCTAGAAAGTGCTCACACGGAGCTGTTGGGGACAGGGTAGCATTTCTTAGTAAGGATCATTAGGTGGGCTTGGGGCCAAGTCCTGGGTTGGGGAAGCATGGACAAGTCTGTGGCCTCAGTTTCCCTCTTCTGTAAAAGGGTAACAATACTGTGGTCAGCTTTAAGAATAAAATAACTTGGACCAGGAAGAGTTGTGCGAACCCAGCTTGGCCCCAGAAGTTGTACGACTGGGAGGGACACTGGGGCTCAGTGCCTCACTCTATTTGTCCGTACCTGGGGTGGGGGGTGGTCTAGCTCTAGGACTTGGCCAGAATCTGCAGAACGACCAACCCATCCCTCTAAGGCATCCCTCGTCCCTCGTGGAACTGGCCCGCCCTCGCCAGCCACCACACTTAGGAGTGACCACACCCCTTTCTTCTGAAGGCTGACCGGTTGCTCCTGGACCAATCCTACCCAGCCCTTAAACCCAGCCCCTCCTGTCTTGGATTCTGATAGGTTTCCCAAACTGGCACCGCCTTCCTACTGAGAGTGCATTGGCTTACCCCGGTCCCGCCCCTCCCAGGTGGGTTGGACTTAACCCTTTCCTCTCTAACCCTCCCCCTCCAGTGCAGTTTGACAGTCCGGAGTGGGAAAGGACCCCAGGCTCAGCCAAAGAGCTCCGGAGACCCCCATCCAGCAGCCCCCAGCCCGCAGAGCGCGTGGACCCGGCCCTGCCCCTGGAGAAACAGCCGTGAGTGGGGAAGCTGACGTTGGAGGAGCCGGGTTGAATCCCTCTCCGTCCCGTACCAGCTGCAGACTCCACTCCTCGGACTGGGGGGCTGGGGGAAGTATGACTCATTCACTCACTTCATTCCTTTCTTCAACTCATCTTCACTGGGTGCCAGAGCCTGCCTGTGTCAGACACCTAGCCTAGGTACAAAGCAGAATTGCATGGTGTCTCATTCCTCTGGTATCAGATTCTGGGTTCTAATCTCTGCTCTGCATCTCTTGGCTGTGTAGCTTTGGGCAAATCACTTAACCTCTCTGAACCTAGGGCTCAAAACCCCCAAGATGGTGCCCAGCTCAGAGTAAAAGGGGATGTCCTCCGTTCACTTGGAGGACGCTCATGAGCCTGAGGGTACAGAGCAATCATCCTCATGCCAGGGTATCTGGGGATGGAACTGAGGGGAACAGAGTTTTGAGGGGGTCCCAACTTTGGGCTGGAGTGAGGCGCACCAGCTGGGAGGCTCTGGGCCTTCTCTGTGTCTCTCCGGCCTAGCAGTTCCTCCAGGAACTCCCTAAAAGCCCATTGAGCCCAGCCCAGTGAGGTGGGGAGCTAGATATTTCCTTTAAACCCCTCCAGTCCAAAAGATACCATGGTGTGTTTATCCCGGTTATTCCCAAACCCCTTAGGTGGGCCATACAGGACGTACTGATGAACACTGAGGCACAAGGGGAGATGTTTCCTCTCTGTTCAGTTTTCTTTCAATACAAAACCCGCGAAGTCTGTTTGGCGCTCCTGTGTGTGTGAGACCTTGCTCGCAAATGCTAACCTCTCTCGGAGTACATTCAGTACAAATATTAAGTAAATGATGGAACAGGTGGGTGGGGATATGGGTTGTGGCAAATCTCTAGAAAGCCAGATGCAAGTGATTCAACTTGAGGGATTAGGGAAGGGGAAACAGGACCCTGGGGACCTAACCTAGGGAGGCTGTAAAGATCAAGGTCAGGTGTATCTATTGAACTGGAGGGAGCAGTTCCACGTGGACCCGGGTTCAGCTGCCTTGCAGGGAAAAACCATGTCTGCCTGAAAACCAGGCTCCCCTTGAGAAACCCAGGGGACTTGTTCTCACTTGTTTGCCTGGAGCTCACAAGTCCTGGAAAGGGCTGTGCCTGCACCAGGCCCCAGGGGTTGTTGGCAGGGGGATTGCCCTTTATGAGACATCTGCCCCCACCCCCTAGGTGGTTTCACGGCCCACTGAGCCGGGCAGATGCCGAGAACCTCCTGTCTCTCTGCAAGGCAGGCAGCTACCTCGTGCGGCTCAGCAAGACCAGTCCCCAAGACTGCTCCCTATCCCTCAGGTGAGGCCCCAGCCCCCTGAAGGGACCGAGGCTCACAGGACTATCTGCCTCCGGCTTTCGCTTTCGGGTTAATTCGGTGGGACCAGAAGGTGGCGCCAGCGGGCGGGGCTTCCAGGGCTGCCCAGCAAAGCTTTCGGAACCGTGGAGGGGACTTCTGGCACCAGTGGGCCAGAGGGTGTGGCTTCCAGGGAGGCCATAGGCAGGGTTCCAACTAAGAGTGAGCCCCCTGTCACCGGAGGTATGCAAGAAGGCAGAGTGGAAGCCATCCAGTAGATCTAGGATGTGGGTGAGGTGGGAAACTAGATTATTTCCTTTAAACTCCTCCAGTCCAAAAGTTGAAGTGTCTCTTGGCGCCAGAATCTCTGAGTGGCCCTGTAGGCATTTGAGTTTGAGATCCTGATTCTACGTGCTTCTCTGCCTAAGATTCTAAACTGATTTTTTTTTTAAATTTTATTTTTATTTATTTATTCATGAGAGACAGAGGGAGAGAGAGAGGGGGAGAGAGAGAGAGAGAGAGAAGCAGAGGGAGAAGCAGGCTCCCCAAGGAGCAGGGAGCCCGATGGGGGACTCGATCCCAGGACCCTGGGATCATGACCTGAGCCGAAGGCAGACGCTTAACCATCTGAGCCACCCAGGCGCCCCTCTGCCTAAGATTCTAAATGTGTCTGATTGTAACAAGCTCCAAAATTCGACTGGGCATCTAACTGTGAGATTCCTGAAAGGGCAAGATTGAAGAGGGCTTGGAGAATTGCTTTAAATCCTGCCTCTGCCACTTTATAGCTGTGTTACCTTAGCTAAATTCCTCAACCTCTCTGGGCCTTGCTTTTCTCATCTATGAAATGAAGATACAAACAGCACCTACTTCATGGTAAGGTTGCCATGATTAAATCACACACACACACACACACACACACACAGGAATTGTTGAGCCTAGTGTCCCGGCAACAGGAAGCGTTTCATTCATATTGGTGATGATAAGATCATTCCCAGGTTCAATGTCATTCAACTCACCAGAGATGGAAGCAAGGAAAGGGACCCCAGCCTTTAGAGCGGACAGGCGGGCAAGGCATCCCTGCCAATGGGGAACAAGCCCAGAGCTTGGCACCCAAGTGGCCATTTAGCAGAAATATTTGGGAATGCCAGCCACCAGCTTCTGGGGGCCACGGGGGGGTTGCTTTAGGGTCGGAGAGCATGAGCAGGTCTGGGGTGCTCAAGGCACTCTGACGCCTGTCCCCCAGGAGCAGCCAGAGCTTCCTACACCTGAAGTTCGCACGGACCCGAGAGAACCAGTTCGTGCTGGGTCAGCACAGCGGCCCCTTCACCAGCGTGCCGGAGCTGGTCCTCCATTACAGCTCCCGGCCGCTGCCTGTGCAGGGCGCTGAGCATCTGGCCCTGCTGTACCCGGTGCAGGTCATGCAGACCCCCTGACCCCAGCACCTTCAGCCCCTGCCCTGCACTGGGCGGGCCCAGAATCACTGGCTGCAAACGCTCCAAGTCTTTCCAGAGACTCGCCACCCCTCCAGGCCCTTGGTCTTCATCAGAGCTGCCTTCTTGGCCCTCTCTTGGGTGCTAGGGACCAGAATTGTGTCTCCAAGCACTCCCCTGGCCTGGAAAATAAATAAGTTATTGTGTGTTTCAAGTGTCCTTTCTGGGAGGCAGGGATCCCAGCTCCAGGGAAAGGAGAGGTTGAGTGACCCTTAGACCCTTAGGGGGGAACGGCATCCCCAGCTGGGGGTGAAGCCTGAATTGCTCACGGGGTCAGCGGGGGGGGGGGACACAAGTAAGAGAGCTGGGGGTAGGCAGGGAGAGATCGTATGAGGTCAGCGGAAAACCCGGACACAGCTGATACAGACAGATACAAGGATGGAGAAAGCGCCGGGGGAGGCTCTCAGGCCAGCCTTGCCCCCACGCGGCCCCTCCCTTGCGCCCCGGCAGGCAGCCGAGGCCTGCTGCTGCTGCTGCGGAAAGGACATCTGTCCCCATGGAAACAGCAGAAGTGGGGGAGGGGAGCCGATCGCAGCTGGTGACACTTCAAGGTGACAGTCGGGCAGGAGACCCGGGGAGCTGATGAATTCCAGGGAGCCCCGATGTCCCCCGTCACCCTTCATCTGCACAACGACCCAGAGAGGGGGGCGCTTCCAGCTCAAGGTGCTGTGTGGAGGTCGGGGGCATCACTTCTCTGCTAATTGGACATGACTCTCCGAGGATAAGAGGAGGGAGGTAGCCAGTCATTACAGAGCCCCCTCACCACAGTGGACCGCCCCCCAGCCACCCTGGGGCTCAGGAACCCCCAGACAACCCCTCAGATACCTTTAACACCCCCCAACTCACAAAATCTGGCTCTCCTCTATAAGCCTTTATTGAGCGCTCTGGGGGTGAGGGAGGAATCCGGCGGTATAGTAATGAGGACCGGGTCTTGGGCTGGGCCGTTGGACTCCCTGACTTTTTGGGAAATCAGTCACATCTTCACATGGCCATTGGTGGGAGGGGATCTTTTCTGGGGTTTCGAGTCCTCTCCCCACTTCAAGGCGCCCTCTTGGCCACTGCCGCCCAGAGGGGCGTGGGTCAGGGGAGAGGCCGACGGTAGATATGGGGTGACTCGACCTGGGGCTGGGGCAAGGCTTCCGGGCCAGGCGCTGCTGGGGGCTGGGAGGCTGGGGGAAAGAGATGGAATAGAAGCTCTGACTCTTCTGGTCCGCGCTGGGGACGTCCAGCACCTTCGCCTCCACACGCCACGCCTTACTCTTCTTTGGGGCCCTCCGGGGCTGGTAAAGGACGTTCCCGTAGAGAGGATGCCCTGCGAAGGTGGGAGGGAGGGATGACACAGACTAAGAGGGGAAAATCACATGAGACAGCCTACCTCAGCTCTCGCCCACCCGGCGCAGCCCCACCCGCCCTCCTTCCAGAAGCGGCAGATGGGGCGCGCTCGGCGTCCGGGCCGAGCGGCTGCAGTTCCCACCTCCGCCACGCGGGGGCAGGGGCGCCGGCGGAACCCGTCCGCCGCCCTCACCGCCACCCGGGCGGTTACCTGAGTCCTCGCGCCTGCTGCGACGTCGGCCCCAGACCCAGGCGCTCAGCGCGAAGACGGCCACGGCCACGCCCCCTGCCACCAGCGGCGCCACCAGGAGTCCTGGGGAGGGGGAGTGCGGGGCGGTCTGACGGGGGACGGGGCGCGGGGGCCGGGGCGGGGCTGGAGGCGGGGCTCGCGGCCGGGGCTCACCTGAGTCGACCGAGGTCTGGTTCGTGGGCAGGCCATCTGCAGAGAAGAAACCTGTGTCTCGGGGGGGTGCTCACGTTCGAGTCCAGCCTCCACCCTTCAGGGTCAGAGCCCCCCCATCCCAGCCGGACGTCAGCATTCCGCCCCTGCCTTGCTGCGTGAGTCCGGGCAGGTGTCCCTCCGGACCTGTTTCCTCTTCTGAAAAACGAGGCGGCCCATTTCTGCCTTGCTCAGTTATTGTAAAGTAATTGCCGAATGGATTTTTTTCATCATGAGCTCCCACCATCCTTGTCATGAACCCCATCACCCCCATAAGACTCCACCATTCCCATCACAAGCCCTGTCATCCCCATAGCCCCATCACTGACATCATGAGCTCCATCACTGCCACCGTGAGCTCCACGATCCTGGTCATGGAATCCACCATCTTTATGGCTCCTGTTTTTTGAGCTCAACTCTGCTGTCGAACGCATTTTACGTACAAGGAAACTGAGTCTCAGCCTGAGTCACTTGCCTGGGGTCATGCACCCAGGCAGCAACAGTGCCTTGCTTTGAACAAAGGTGTTGCTCACCTCAGCTCCCCTTTCCTTTTCTGTTTCAGGAAAAAAGAAAAGAAAGAAAAAAGAAAAAGAAAGGAAAGGAAGAAAAAGCTTACACTGGCCTGACCTTTTGAGTCTTGCTGAGTAATCAGCCTAACAGACATAAATAATCACTTAGGTTTACTGAGGACTTATCATGTTCCAGACCCTGTAATAAACTCTTTGGATGTAATTACTTCAAATTCACCTAACCCAGAGCTAAGGAAACAGGCACAGAGGGGTCAAGTTACTTGCCCAAGGTCACACAGCAAGTGAACAGCAGAGTGGGGACATGTTCCCAGGTCTGTATAGTTGATATAAACTCCAGCCAAAGGCTCCTGGTGTGACTAAGATGAGGCCCAGTGCCCCTGACCTCTTCACCTTGTATGTTTTAAAGTTGGCGTCTGGGGGACCTGGGGGGCTCAGTCGGTTAAGCGTCTGCCTTAGTCGCAGATTGTGATCCCAGGGTCCTGGGATCGAGCCCTTACGTCGGGCTCCCTGCTCCACGGGGAGCCTGCTTCTCCCTCTGCCTTTGCCTCTGTGTGTGTGTGTGTGTCTCATGAATAAATAAATAGAATCTTAAAAAAAAAAAAAAGTTGGCTTTGGTCCCTGGGGGCTACCAAGCAGCTGTTGGGGGGGAGGGGAGAGCCAGCTGTGTGTAGCTGGAGGGAGACCGGCCCCCATCCCTGCAGATGCCGACAATGCACAGCCTGGTGCCTCTGCAATCCAGATTCTGCTAATTGGTAATTGGCCCTCTCGTTACTAGAAGGTGGGGGCAGGCAGGACAGCCATAAGGCATGGCCCTAGAGGCAGGCGGTGGGAGGGTCCTGCCAACAGGAGAAGAACGGGCATCTCTTTGGGCCAGGAACTGCGGAGGTGCTCCATCCTCTGCCTCATGGGTCCAGGCATGTGCCCGAGGCCCTCAGGAACCACTGAGAGAGCACGAGCCCCCTCTGGGTCTGCTGGAGTCTCCAGGCCCCATGCAGGGTTTGGCCCAAAGTGGGTTGTCATGCAGAATAGGGGGAGTGTATGAGCTGGGCTTTTGAGAAAGCTGGCTGCATTCCTGGCTCGTGTATGTGGCTGGACACATCCAGGCCTTCTCTGGGCCTCAGCTTTCTCATCTCTAAATGGAGGCAGCTGGCTTAGCTGAGCTGGGAAATTCCTTCTAGCCTTGAGAATCAATGACTTTCAATGTGGATTCTATATCTGTCCTTACACACTCTGAGACTGAAAAATTCTAAAAGCCTGTTTAAAATATTTAAGATACTGCAGTTCTAAGATTCTAGAATCATCTGTTCCTTTATGTCAGTTTCTCAACCTTTTTTCATTATCACCCCCCAAAGAGACTTTTAAAATCTTACGTTGTTTCCCCATGATGTTTCAGTACCACAGATACAGCGTGAATCTCTATGTACTGCCCACACATCTGTGCTTTATACGTAAAAAAATAAAATCTTTGTTGCTCCCCAAGAACCAATTCTTGCCTCCTTAGGAGCAAGATTCCCCATTGAGAATGCTGTAGTTCTAAGAGCCTAGACTTCTACGCCCCTAGGATTATTCTAGAACTGCAAGAATCTGTTTTGTGGTTCGAGATCCTGGAATTGTCTGAGGCACAACAGAAATGTGCTGGCCAAAGACCAGTTGTAATTTGTTCACAGCGCCCTTATTCATGATTGCCAACAACCAGGAGCTGCCAAAATGCCCATCCATAGGAAATTGGATTGATGGATGGTGGTGGGTCTACAGAAAGAGAAAGAACATCCCGCTGCTGCATGACCAAGATGGATGTACCTTCTGGCCGAGTGGGGGATTCAATGTTGAATGAAAGAAGCCAGGCACAGAAGAGAATGTACTCTATGATTTCCCTTAAGTAGCACACAAAGCCAGGCCAAATAAGTCTATGCAGCCAGAAGTCAGGATGATGCGTGTGTGCATGGGTGGGGGGAAGGGATCCGGGAGGCAGGAAGTCTTGTTTCTTGAGCTGGGTGGTGGTACAAGGGGTGGGCTCAGGCTGTGGTCTGAACGTGTCCCCCTGCGATTCCTATGTGGAGTCCTAACCCCTGGAGGTGATGGAAGGAGGAGGTGGGACCTCAGAAGGTGATTAGGTCCTGAGCCCTCACAAATGGGATATGTGTTCTTATAAAAGAGACATCACTGTCTCTTCCTCCACGTGAAGGGCGCCAACTACAAAGCAGGGTGAGAGTCCTCACCAGAACACAACCATGCTGGGGCCCTGATCTTGGACCTCCAGCCTCCAGAACTATGAGAAATAAGTTTCTGCTGTCTACAAACCACCCCTGTCTGCAGTATTTTGTTATAGCAGCCCAAATGGACGAGAGCATCCACTAAACCGGCCACTTACAATATGCGTTTTTTTTCTGTATGTTGGAGATACTTTAATAATACATTTTTTTTAAAAAAGATTCTGGGATTGTGTTTAATCAAAACTCCAGAATTACATGTATTCGAGAGTCTTCATGATTGCAGAATTCGGGAAGAAGCCTCAGCAAACTTCAGCCTGTGGATCCAACTAGGCCCACTACCTGTTTTTTTAAATAAAGTTTTATTGGAACCTAGCCCCACCCATTCACGCCTGTCCAGTCTATGGAGGATTTCATGCTATAATGGCAGAGTGGAGTCGTTACAATGTAGAACACAAAGCAGAAAATATTTACTCTGTGGGCCTTTACAGAATGTTTGCTGAGTCCTCATCTAGAATTATAAGTTCCAGCATGTCTTTGGTTCTGCAAGTCTAGATTTTGATGTTCTTGACTTTGCAGGATCTCTGTTTCTAAGAATCCCATTGGAAGACTTTAGAGTTTATGTTCCTAGGAAGGAATTTGAGATTCTAGAGTCTTAAGATCTTATAAGTTCCAAGAGCCCACTTCTTCCCTCCACTTGCTCCCATACCTTTCTCCACCAGGAGCTGCGTGCCATTGCCCTGCTCCACCTCCAACTTAGGAATCTCCACGGCCACCCAGCACACGTAGTCCCCACTGTCGTTGAGGCTCACGTGGTCCAGCTGCAGGGTGAGGTTGCCAGGCGGCTTCCAGGAAAGCAGCCTCCAGGGCCCGCAGACCCCCAGGCTGAGGCTGCCATTGGTGATGTGTGGCTCACACAAGGAGACGCCATCCTTGGTCCACCCAACGCGGAGCCGCTCCCAGGCTTGGGACTGTATCACCCAGCAGGCCAAGGTCACCTGGCTTCCCTGTGTCACCTGCAACCACTTGGGCTCCTGCTGCACTCTCAGGCCTGTGGCTCCTTGCAGGACGAGGGGATACAAGAAGTGAGTAAGGCTGGTGTGTGTGTGTGTGTGTGTGTGTGTGTGTGACTTACTCCCCCAGTGAGCCCACAGGGCTGAGGCTACATGATCTTTGCAAGATCACGTCTCACTGAGGCTCAAAGTCTTTTTTTTTTTTTTTTAAAGATTTTATCTATTTATTTGACAGAGAGCGTGAGAGAGCACAGCAGGGGGAGCAGCAGACAGAGGGAGAAGCAGGCTCCCTGCTGAGCAGAGCTCGATCCCAGGACTCTGAGATCATGACCGAGCTGAAGGCAGAAGCCCAACCATCTGAGCCACCCAGGAGCCCCTCAAAGTCTTCATTTGTGAAATGGGTTTAACTTTCTTTCGGCACTTGGGAGATTTCAGGGAGGACTCTATGACCAGTCCAACTCTCGGCACACAGATATTGCCTTGTGTGTGCCAAGCCCTGTTCTGGACACCACGGACACAGACAGACGTGATGAAGACAGACAGAAATTCTTGCCCCACTCTGGAGCTGACAGTCTGGGGGGAGAGAGAGAGAGAGAGAGACACGGGATGTCATGAAGTGAGAATCCTGATGGAGGATAAGGATGAAGTGAGAGAGAATCTACTTATAGAGGGTGGTCAGGGAAGGCTTCTCAGAGGAGGTGATGTTTGAATTGAGATCCAAATGGTAAGAAGTAGCCAGTGGTGGGAAGAAAGGAAAATGGAGGAAGAGCACGCCAGGCAGAGGAAGCAGGCCATGCAAAGGCCCTGGGCACAACCATGCCTGGTATGTTGGAGAAAGAGGGAGGAGGCCCTTGTGGCTGGAGTAGAGTGACTGACAGGGAGAGAGGGAGGAAGTGGAATTGGAGAGAAGATGGCTTCTACAAGGCTTTGCAGGCCACAGGGTGGAGGTGGGGAGAGGGAAGCAGTTTGCTTTTTAATCTAAGTGTGATAGGAAACCAGGGGAGCAGAGGAAAACATGGTCCAATTTAAGGTTTTTTTTTTTAATTTATTTTATTTATTTGAGAGAGAGAGAGAGCATGCAAGCAGGGGGAGGGGGAGAGAGAGAGAGAATTTCAAGCAGAACCCCCCCCCCCACACTCAGCACAGAGCCTGACCTCAGGATGTCACGACCCTATGAGATCATGCCCTGAGCTGAAATCAGGAGTCAGTGCTCAACCAGCTGAGCCACCCAGGCGCCCCCCAATTTAAGTTTTAAAAAGATCACCCTGTGCTGTGTTGAGAACAGACTGTGGGGGTGGGAGAGGGGTTCAGGGGTGGCTGGGGGATGAGGGTCCACGAGCATAGTAACGGGGGCTGGACCCTGGAAAAAAGCCATCAGCAGCCAAATGGATTGAGAAAAGGAAAGAAGAATGGTAGCAGATTCCCAAGGTTTTAGCCTCGGGGACTGTGTGAAGGGCGGTGGCTTTGGGCCAATATGGAGGATCCTGACAGAGGAGCAAGGCTGGAGTCGAAGAAACGTTTGCTTTGGGCCCCTGAGATGTCTGAGGTGCCTATCAGACCCCCCAGAAGGGGTGCATTTAGCTCAAGTTCCTGGCCTTTTTTTTTTTTTTTAAGGATTTTATTTATTTATTTGACAGAGAGAGAGAGACACAGCGAGAGAGGGAACACAAGCAGGGGGAGTGGGAGAGGGAGAAGCAGGCTTCCCGCGGAGCAGGGAGCCCGATGCGGGGCTCGATCCCAGGACCCCGGGATCACGACCTGAGCCGAAGGCAGACGCTTAACGACTGAGCCACCCAGGCGCCCGTTCCTGGCCTTTGATATGCAATGGCAGCTGATGCTAGAGAGATGAGATCCAGGCGGAGGGAAGAGCAGGTGCAAGGGCCCAGGAGGTGGGATCGAGCTTGGTGTGTTGGGAAAAAAAGGAAAGAAAGGAAGGAAGGAAGGAAGGAAGAAAGAAAGAAAGAAAGAGGCATCAGGCCAGACAAGGGTGAGAAAAGGAAAGCCGTGGAGGGTGCAGATGACAGAGGCCAGCGGAGCCAGCTCATGCAAGCCTGGTGTGGAGGTCGTGGTGTGAGTTTTACTCTAGGGACCCACTCTGAGGATCCTGCTAGAACCCTTCAAGCCTTGTAAGGTTCTGGGTATCAGAGAGAAACAGGCTCTATTTAGCGGAGCACAGAGATTGGGTCCCAGGGGCTGGGAGCCAGGGGGCAGGCTTCTGGGGTGATGGACAGCAGGAGGGAGGGCAGAGGGGAGAGGGGGCCCAAGTACTCACCCCAGAACTGCACCAGGAGGACCAGCGCTGTGCCCAGGGACTCCATTCCTGGCCCACCAGGCCCCCCTCTCCTGGCGGGCGCCCCACACCCCATCCCCCCATCCTAGGTGACAGACTTCCTGCCACAGTCTCCGCCCCCCCACCACAGAGGCAGGTGTGACAGCCAGGCCAGACGTCTATTAACTAATCCTGGTTAGGGCTCTGCTGCCTCCCCTCTGGTGCCTGGGTTTCCCCAAAGATTTTTTGTTTTTGTTTTCTTTAATCTGAAAAGCAGTTATGTGTATGTGAATGGAATAATGCGTCCCAGTGAGTGCAAATCTTTCTGGGAGATGCTATTTATTTATTTTAAAGATTTTATTTATCAGCAAGAGAGGGAACACAAGCAGGGGGAGTGGGAGAGGGAGAAGCAGGCTTCCCGCTGAGCAGGGAGCCTGATGCGGGGCTCGCTCCCAGGACCCTGGGATCATGACCTGAGCCGAAGGCAGGCGCTTAATGACTGAGCCACCCAGGCGCCCTGGGAGATGCTATTTAAACACACCTGAGGGCACCTGGGTGGCTCAGTGAGTTCCCAGGGTGCTGGGATCGAGTCCCACATCCGGCTCCTCACTCAGCAGTGAGCCTGCTTCTCCTTCTCCCTCTGCGTGCTGCTCCCCCTGCTTGTGCACTCTCTCTCTGTCAAATAAATAAATAAATAAAATCTTTAAAAAAAATAAAAATAAAAAATAAACACACCTGAGCTGGGGGGGGTCACGGTGGAAGGTTAGGTGATGCAGGCGTGGGAACAGGGGGCAGGCAGCAGAGGCCTGAGCTTGGATTGAAGATCGGAACCCTAGCTTCAATTATTTGGCCCCCAAAATGTCTTCCTTTGAGGTTCAGAGTAGATTTGTGTTGATGGCTTCAGGTCCCACGACAGGTATGGGGGTTTCCCCTGTCCCCACAGCCTGCACAGAAGTTTGGGGGCCCAGTGGAGCAGGTTCGTAGGGCCTGGGATTTCTCCCAGCCCTGCATTTGTCACCCTGGGGGGGGGGTGTGGGAGGAGGTGGCAGAATTCAGGCCTCAATGTGTCACCCTAACCACATGATGACCTCTTTTCTCACCCAAAAAGAAGAGGGCCTGTGTGCTCGAAAGCGCCCTTCCTATCAACCGCAGGACGGCCCCTGCCTGCCACGACACTCTGCCCACACCACCCCAGCGGACACACGCAGCTTCCTAACCTCCCCTACCCAGGCCACCTCTTCCCTCCGACTTTCTTCTCAAACTCTATCCTTCCCCCACCAACTCTACCCTTCCCCCACAGTCTGCCCAGAGGCAATGCTGGAGATCCTGGATAGATCTGGCCACAGGCTGACAGGGAAGACCAAACTGGACACAGACATTCACAGACCTGTGGCTTCCGGTCAGGCAGACAGACTTCTGGAGGAGGGGCTGTGAGAGCCTAGGGCTTTGTGGGATGTATAGGAGTTCAGTTGTGCCTTGGGGAGAGAAAGGGCACTCGAAGCTGAACATCAGCTCGGGCAAAATGTAAATGCTAGGAGTAAAGGCAAGGAGTGTGAGCGGTTAGGGGCCAGATCTCATTGGAGGAGAGTATGGAATTCCAGTTTGAGGAACAGCCACGAAATGGCATGGGTGCAAGAGTGGGGAGGCTTAGGCACCAAGAGGACTAGGGATGGGCTCGAGGTCACACAGCAGGGCCAGGCGTCGAACCCCGGCAGCCTGCTTCCCAGCTCCGGGCTCTCCGCAGCTCAGTCATCACTACCAATGCCGCCTGGCGGGCCCCAGCCTCTGGGGGTCCCGGCTCTCAGGGCCCCCAGCGCGGGACTACGTTTCCCAGCTTGCCGCGGGGGGCGAGCGTGCGCACTGCGGCCAGTGATGGAGCACTGACGGGGGGCGCGGCTGCGGCGGCGGCGGCGGCGGGGAGGGCTCGGCGGGCCATTGGCTCGTGGTCGCGGCAAAGGCAGCTTGAGGACTAGAAGAGCAAGCGGGGCCCGCGGGCCGGGCCGGGGACGACCTGGGCTGAAGCCATGGAGGACCAGAGGGTAGGACCGGGGCGGGGCGGGGCGGGGCCCCGGGCGGGGGTGGACAAGGGGGAGGGGACCAGGTGATGCCGCAGCGCCCCCCACCCCCGCAGCTGCTTTGCGGCCGAGGCCCCACCCCCGCCCCAACCCCGCCCGGATCAAGCCCCCTAATTCGGGACGCAGCACCCCCAGCCGTCGCCCCGACCTCTCCTCATCTTGGCCGGGCTCCAAGCGCATCCCCTCCATGCCCCCCACGCGCACCCAGAATCCTTGACCCATCCCCCACGCCCTCCATCCGGACTGCGGACCAGGTGTCCGGTCTCTGCCCCGCCCCGCCCCGAGGACGCCCCTCTAGCTCAGCCCAGGTGGTCCCACGATCCTGCTCCCCCAGGAAAGGGACACGTACGAGGCCTAGGTCAGGGTTCCAGGCCCCAGCAGGTCCTCCCACGCGGCTTCCTTCTCTCCAGGCGTCCCCTCACCCAGACCTCGGTCCCCCACTCCCCAGTTACCTGGACTCTCAGGCACTCTGTTCTCCAGGTTCCTCTTTTCTTTTTTCTAATCCCTGTTCCCAAGGTATCCCCTTCCCCAGGGTAGCCCATTTTCTACAGGCATGATTTTGCTCTGGGGTTTTCTTTCCCCAAGGTAACCCCTCACCCCATGCCCCGCCCTCAGTAGATAGGTACAAGGTTGAAGGCTTTGTGCTGAGGGGCACCTGGCTCAAGCCCAGGGTCTGCCCCTTCCCCAGAGGTTCTTTGTGAGCCTCAGTTTCCTCTGCTGTAAAATGGGCATGCTTGCAGTGTCCATCTGCTAAGTGAGGGAAGATAGGGCCAGAGCTTTGCCCAGGGCCTGCCTCGTGGCGGGTACCTGAGCTCACTGGCGCTGTGGCTCCCACATCTCCTGGATCCCGGGAAGGCAGAGTGGGGACGCCCAGGTCGGGGAGCCGGGTGCCCAAGGGGCTTACGGGCCCTGCATGTGTGCGTGCTTCCGGTGGCGGCAGGAGGCTCTGCGGAAAATCATTACCACCCTGGCTGTGAAGAATGAAGAGATTCAAAGCTTCATCTACTCCCTCAAGCAGATGCTGCTGAACGTGGAGGTGAGGAAGGCGCCTCTGCAGTAGGGATGGAAGGAGGTGGGGAAGTCTTGGACAGGTGCGTGGAAGGGATGGAGGGAGGGGGCAGCCATAGGAGTTAGCCTGTTACTGCTGATGCCTGTCTGTCGTGGCCTGGCTACAGTGTCCAGGCCTCAGTTTCCCCATCTGAGCATAGGCTTTGGCCCACCCTGGCCTGTCTGACCCCACAACATCTCTCCAAGGCAAACTCCACCAAGGTGCAGGAGGACCTGGAGGCCGAGTTCCAGTCCCTCTTTTCCCTCCTGGAGGAGCTGAAGGAGGGCATGCTCATGAAGATAAAGCAGGACCGGGCCAGCCGCACCTATGAGCTGCAGGTGTGTGTTGGGTGGGTGGGTGGGGGGGATCTCTCCCAGACCCCCACCCAGACCCGATTCCCCCATGGCACCCCTCAGACTCAGCAGAGCCCATCTGGCCTCAGTGTCTTCCTCCAAATCTACTCCTCCTCCCGCACCACTTCTTGGAAAGGCCCCGAGGTGTCTCCAGTGTCCGGAACCAGACACCCCAGTGGCATTGGCCTCAGCTCCTCTTTTTCCTGGTCTCTCCTCTGCCCCCTCACTGGCTGCAATCCATCAATCCCCCACCCCCACCTGCTCCCCTTGATCTCTGTTCCTACCACCTCCCTCCCCACTTCTCTGTCACCACAGCCCCACCCCCACATCTGGCTCCTCCTCCCCTCCAGTCTTCACCTCCAATTTCTCAGCCCTTCCCACTGGTCCCCCAGATCTGGCAACATCCCCTCTTGCCAAACACCGCCCCAACCCCATGGCTCCTGTGGGGTCTCAGACTCTAAATGGAGGTACTGGGGCTGCATCAAAGCCTTCTGGACAACTTTCTAACATCCCAGATTCCCAATCCTGGGAGAATTTGGGGTCCTGAGGCTCAGGTGTGGCCTGGACAGGGGAGTTTTTAAGAAAGGGATCCCCAGGTGATTTTGAAGTGCTGCCAGGAGTGAGGCCCCATTTCCTTCCACCCTCCCTCCCCCATCTGGAGTTGGAGAAAGGCATGGCGCCCTGAATCCCAAAGGCAGTGGGGAGCCCCGGAGGGTTTGATGCGGTGGGATGAGGTGTCTCTTCCCTCGGTGCCGTGCCACTCCCAGAACCAGCTGGCCGCCTGCACTCGGGCCCTGGAGAGCTCCGAGGAGCTTCTGGAGACAGCCAACCAGACCCTGCAGGCCACAGACAGCAACGACTTCCCTCAGGTGGGCACCTCAGAAGCCATACTGGTAGGGCTAGGCCATAAAATACAGGACACCCGGTTAAATTCGCATTTCAGATCAACCCCAAGTGATTTTTTTAGTATAAGTGTGGCCTGTACAACATTTAGTATAAGTATGTCCCAAAGATCCCACGGAACATACTTATGCTAAAAAATTATTTGTGGTTGATCTGAAATCTAAATTTAACAAGGAGTAATTTGTTTAGTGTAAGCAGATCCTATGCAAATGTTTAGTATTAAAGTATTTCCAGATGTTGCGTGGAACATATTTATACTAAAATGTTTGTTGTGTATCTGAAATTCAAATTGAACAAAATTTTTAAAAGATTTTATTTATTTACTTATTTTGAGAGAGAGAGAGAGAGAGCAGGGGGAGGAGCAGAGGGAGAGGGACAAGCAGACTCCACGCTGAGCATGGAGCCCGACATGGGGCTGGATCCCACAATCCCGAGATCATGACCTGAGCTGAAACCAAGGGTCGGATCGCTCAACCAACTGAGCCACGCAGGCGCCTCTAACAACGAAAATTTTTTTAGTATAATATGTCCCATGCAATATTTAGTATATGTCCTGAATATAGAATGGGACATATTTTCACCAAAAAATCATTTTGTTTATCTGAAATGCAGATTTAACTGGGCATCCTGTATTTTTATTTGCCAAGTTGACTAGCTGGTGGGCACCAGGCACTGGGGATAGGGGTGGGGGTAGGAGCCTGTCTTTGCCCCCATCCCTCTGGGGCACAGCCAAGCGTTTCTGCCCCAGTGGTGGGGGACTTTGGCCAGTGGCTGCCCCTCTAGGCCTCAGTATTCCTGTCTGTACAGTAGCTTTCGGATTCAATCAAGAAAACTTTGACTTTTATTCTGTCACTTTTTCTAGGCTGCCAAGCAAATCAAAGATGGGTAAGATACTGGGATCTGGTTCCCACCCCAGTGCCCCGCCCCTGGTGTGAAGGTGGGGACACCCAGGTGAGGGTCTCTGGGCCCAGAGCGCTGGACCAGAACAAGGGGGAGTGGGTCTCCCACACACTTCCGAGAACCGGGCCTGGGCCCCCTTGAGATGCCTGCCAGCAGGCTGCCTCCACCTTCTTCCCTGCAGCGTGACAATGGCCCCTGCCTTCCGGCTGTCACTGAAGGCCAAGGTGAGCGACAACATGAGTCACCTCATGGTGGACTTCGCACAAGAGCGGAGGATGCTACAGGCACTCAAGTTCCTACCTGGTGAGAAGAGAACTTTCTCGGGGCCTGGATTTCAGGCCAGTGGTACCCTGAGACAGGCCAGAGGGAGCCTGGCTTTGGAACCCCACAGGCGCTGGCCCTGGGGGTGGAGCCCCGAGGCTCCCCTTCCCATATGGGTGGAGCCACGAGGAAGCCGGCCCCCAGTAGCCGAGCCCTGAAAAGCCCCACCCACCAGGGGTGGAGTCTCACGAAGGCCACACTCCTATCAGAGAATTCTGGAGGTAGTCTACCTCTAAATGGTGGAGTCCCGAGAGAAGGCCCAGCCCTTTGTTGGTTGAACCCTGAGAAAGCTCTTCCCTGCCACCCCACCCTGGTGAAACCCTGGGGAAGCTCCACCCATGGCCCCCAGTACCCGGAGGGGCCCTGGCCCCAAGAAGGCCTATGGTGCCAGTGGGGGAGTTTCAGTAAGGTGGCCCCTCTGTCCTGGACAGTGCCCAGCGCCCCTGTGATAGACCTGGCCGAGTCCCTGGTAGCAGACAACTGTGTGACCTTGGTGTGGCGCATGCCAGACGAGGACAGCAAGATTGACCACTACGTGCTGGAGTACCGTCGGACCAACTTCGAGGGCCCGCCCCGTCTCAAGGAGGATCAGCCCTGGATGGTCATCGAGGGCATCCGGCAGACAGAGTACACCCTGACTGGTAAGGGCAGCTCAGCCCTGCTGCCGAAAGCCCTCCCCTTCCACCCTCCCAATCCGGTGTGGCTCAGCAGTTCCAGGATCCCCTTTCAACTGGGGGGCCTGGCTGGGCTGATCAGGAGTAACAGAAGGTAATAATAATGAAAACGATATTGGTGATCGCCCCTGCACTGTTCATGGAGGGCTTACTAAATGTTTTACCCCCATGTAATGGACAGGCTTATCATCAGCATTTTACAGATGAGGGAACTGAGGCCCAGGGGGAGAAGGCATTCTCCATCCCCAGCTACCATCCAGCATTTGTTCATTCCAGTGTATTAAGTGCCTACGGCGAACCGGGCTGTGCCCTTGCATTAGTAAGCAAAACGGACGAAAACCCCTCCTCTCGTGGAGCTGGCGTCCTCCCAGTATTTGGGGATTTCCTTGGCAGGTGTAAGAGAGCAGAATGCGTGGGGGGGGATCCCCCAGCCGGTAGGGGAGGGTCTGAGGAAGGGTAAAATCAGGGGGTCCCTAATGAGTTTCAGAAGCGGTCCTGAGCCAAGGGAAATCCTCAGCGGCGGGGCGAGTCTTGCTGACAAGATAACCATCACCACAGCTCTTGGGCTGTAATCAGCCTGTTCTTTATCTGTAATTAGCAAAATGGTTAATAATGAGCATGCTAATTGCAGGAAAGAAAAGCTACCAGCCACCAAGAGGGCCTGTCCTTTGCATCGGAATCAAAATAAACATACCCCACTTTCCCCCCCCCCGATATATATATTTTTCATTATGGCCAAATACATATAACATAAAATTTACATCTTAACCATCTTTAAGGGTCCACTCCAGTAGTAGTAAGTACATTCATAACGTTGTAAAGCCATCACACCATCTTCATCACTCTCCATCTTGCAAAACTGAAACTCTGTCCCCATGGAACACTGACTGTAGCCCCTGGCTCCCACCATCTTCCTGCCCCTGTGATTTTTACTACTTTTAGTACCTAACGTGAGAAGAATCCGACAGGATTTGCTCTTTCGTGTCTGGCTTATTTCACTGAGTGCAGTGTCCCCAGGGGTCATCCATGTTGTAGTGCGGATCAGGATTTCCTTCTTTTTTCAGGCTGAATAGCGTTCCCGTGTGTGGACATACCCGGTTTTTGCCACTAATATCGGCTTACGTAACAATAGTTCAATGTCAAAACCGAGGAACCGACACGAGCATATTCTGCGGTGTCGATCCACATTTCCCTGGTGATTCAGTACTTCATCCGTGTGTGTGTGTGTGATCTCTCCCCTGTGCAGTTTTCTCCCATGTGCAAATTCACATAACTGCCACCACGGTCAAGGTGGAGGGCTGCTATATCACAGGCTTCCTGATGCATCACCCCCTGGCCATACCCTCCTGCCTTCTACAGAATTTCTGGCGAGTGAATTCCGCAGGGCAGGAAGTTGAGTCCCTGAAAAAGTGTGTGGTTCTGAGGATGCAGATGGGGACACTCATCTAGCTAACTAACCCATGTGGTTATTTGGAGCCCACCTGCCATCTCGATTGCTTGGACAGTCAGGAGGGTTTTGGTTTAGTGTTTGTAACTTACATGCCTCCACTCATCTCATCCTCATGTGAACCCTGCTTAGGATGGGGAATATGGGGGCGCCTGGGTGGCTCAGTCGTTAAGCGTCTGCCTTCGGCTCAGGTCGTGATCCCAGGTTCCTGGGATCAAGCCCCGCATCGGGCTCCCTGCTCCACGGGAAGCCTGCTTCTCCCTCTCCCACTCCCCCTGCTTGTGTTCCCTCTCTCGCTGTGTCTCTCTCTGTCAAATAAATAAATAAATTCTTAAAAAAAAAAAAAAAGAATGGGGAATATGATTGCTGGTTTGCAGAATAGGAAACTGAGGCCCGCAGTGAGTTCAGACCATCCATAATCAGATGGGTTCCAGGTTTCTAAAACTGAGGCTTCTGGTTGGTGATCTTTGCTTGGGGGCGGTAGACGGTGTCGCTGAGCAAAGTGCTGAACTCTCGGAGAAGGGTGAGCCAGTGTTGGGCCCTTGGAGGAGGTTGGCAGCCAGCCTGAGGCCCGAAAGAGAAGGGGCGGGTGGAGAACAGCCTTCTAAGCAGAGGAACAACCTGATCGAGGGCTCGGAGGCCAGAGCACTGGGCCTTTGTGTCTGAAACTAGTTAAGTTTGCCGCCCACATCTGTGGGGAGAAGGGAGAAGAGGAATGGGGTCTTTACTTGGAGGGCAAGGGGAGCTATGGGAGGTTTTAGAGGAGGGGCTGCTGAGTGCTGTTTGGGATGATCAGAGAATGGGCATTCCATGGGGAGCACTCAGGAGGCACCTGGACATGTGGTTTGGGCTAGAGGTTGGGCTGTGGGTGCTGTGGTGGATGGATGGTATGTGAGCGGCAAGAAGCTGTCAGGGAGCAAGCAGAGTGAGGCGAGTAAGGGCCCCGGACTGAGCTGCCCCGACATTTAAGGGTGTCAAGGAGGGAGGAGCCTGCAAAGAGGACCTAGGGAGAACAGACAGAGGGGGTGTCCAGGAGACCACTGTGCCTTGGCTGCCAAGGAAAGAGAATGTTCCAGGAAGGAAGGAGTGCTCAGCCAGGAGGTCCTGCAAGGTGGGGACTGACAAAGCCAGAGGAGGGAGAGGGAGTGAGGCAGCAGAGAAGGGTTAGGGATGTAGACCGCTCTCTAAAGAGGGTTGGCTTGAGGGGAAACACAACTAAAGACAGCTCGGTAGTTGCTTTTTATTTTTTAAGACTCGAAGAAACTAATAAAAAAGGACATAAGGGAGTGTGAGGCATATCCTAGAAGTAGGGGAAATTTTTCACCGGGCACGGCTAGATCCAGGGGTTCCAGCAAATGACTCGCTCACTGTTGTTCCCTGCATTTGTTGGATCTGGGGGCTGCATTCTGAAGGAGGCTTGCCAAATGCACTGATAAATTTTCCCAAGAGGGGGCGTCTGGGTGGCTCAATTGGTTAAGCGACTGCCTTCGGCTCGGGTCATGATCCCGGAGTCCTGGGATCGAGTCCCACGTCGGGCTCCCGGCTCAGCGGGGAGCCTGCTTCTCCCTCTGACCTTCTCCCCTCTCATACTGTTTCTCTCTCTCTCCCAGATAAATAAAATAAAATCTTTAAAAAAAAAAAAAATTTTCCCAAGAGGAGGGGCGCCTGGGTGGCTCAGTCGTTAAGCGTGTGCCTTCGGCTCAGGTCATGGTCCCAGGGTCCTGGGGTCCAGCCCCGCATCGGGCTCCCTGCTCCGCGGGGAAGCCTGCTTCTCCCTCTCCCTCTCCCCCTGCTTGTGTTTCCTCTCTCGCTGTCTCTGTCAAATAAATAAATAAAATCTTTAAAAAAAAATTTTTTTTCCCAAGAGGAGCTTCCTCCTAGTTGGCCAGCCCAGAGAAGACACAGTGACTGTGCTCCCTAGAATACCAGCCCGGTGTCCCAGGGAAGATTCTTACTGGCCAGTTTGGGTCACGTGCTATTCCTGAACCTGCTGTTATTGCTTCCTTAAAGCATCCTGATTGGCTAGTCTGGGTTGGAGGTGGAGCCAAGTTACACATAGTCCTGCAGGTGAATGAGGGCCAGGGATAAGATGTCGTTTGCAAGGTGCTCCTTAGAACGAGGAGTGGTGGGAGGTGGGATTGCCCTGGGACACAGGGACCTATAACCGGTTGCTCAAAGTGTACACAATGTTGAGATCCCTCTGTTGCTCCTAGGTCTCAAGTTTGACATGAAATACATGAATTTTCGTGTGAAGGCCTGTAATAAGGCGGTCGCAGGCGAGTTCTCCGAGTCAGTGACCCTGGAGACACCAGGTGACTGCCCCCCCCCACCCTGCCTGTGACTCCACAACCCCTCACCCTGGGGCCCCAGGTACTGGTGTGTAATGATAATCTTCTAATCAGGGTTCTGCGACCCTTTTTACTCTGGCTGCCAGGAAGCTCAGAGCTTAGTCCATAGTAGATTCCTCAGCCCAAGTGTCTAATATAAACCTGCTCTTGTTTTTTGCTTTTGCAGTTGATCCCATTTTACCTGGATGGTTTTTATATTCTTTCTCTCTCTCTCACAAACACACACACTTATTCTCTCTTCTGAAAAAAAAAAAAACAAAAACCAGATAAGGGCTCTTAGAGTGGGGGGTGGGGTATCAGTCGTGAAGACCGATCTTACCCTCCTACGGCAGCACCTTTGCGTGCCCTTGGTAGGAAGTCCTTCTGCAGCCCAGCTTAACTATCGTGCTACAGCCTGGCCCCTGTCCTGCGATTAACCTGCAGCGGAAGCACAGAGCACGAGCGCTTTGGCAAAGTGCCTCCCAACCTACGGGACCTTTAGGCAGCAAGCGCTCGGCCTTCACTGCCCCAGCCGCACGCTCTGCCCCTTCCGCGCTTCCCCGTCCGTCCGTCTTGGTGTCTCGCTGCCTGTTCTCTCTGTAGCTGTCTGCCCCTGAGTCCGTCCGTCGGTCTCTCTCTCTGTCTGTCTCAGTCGCCGTTGTCTTTTTCTGTTCTCTGTCCCTGTCACGGTGTGTCTTGGTCACTGTCTGTCTCTCTGTCTCTCTCCGTGTCTCTCCGGGTTTCCCCATCTCTGTGACTCCCTCGTCTGCCCGGCCCCAGCGTTCATGTTCCGCCTGGATGCGTCCACATCTCACCAGAACCTGCGGGTGGATGACCTGTCCGTGGAGTGGGACGCCATGGGCGGGAAAGTGCAGGACATCAAGGCTCGAGAGAAAGATGGCAAGGGGCGGACCGCGTCTCCCGTCAACTCCCCAGCGAGGTAGCCTGCCCCCCCGCCTCCCTGAGTGTCTGGTGGAGGCGATCAAGCTGGACGGGGACACCCAGGGTCCTGCGTGGTCAAGGCTGGGGTGGGAGGAGGGGCACGGGGCTGGAGGAGTGCAAAGAGGAAAGGAAGGGAGAAGAGGTTTTTCGCTGGGTTTTGACAGGTGAATAGTTTTCCCCATTAGGAAGGGCAGGGGCATGTTCTGATACGCGGGGCCCAGCGCACGAAAAGAACCAAGTCCCATGGGTACTGATGTGAAGACCATGGTGGCTGGGTGGGCCAGGGAAACCCTCCTCTGGGGACAGTGAGGGCCGAACTGAGCCTTCCCCTCCCCGCCCCTCACAGAGGTGTGCCGTCCCCCAAGAGGATGCCCTCGGGTCGTGGGGGTCGGGACCGCTTCACGGCTGAGTCCTACACGGTGCTGGGTAAGGAGAAGCGAAGACAGGAGGGCAGAGGGGACACTCTGGGCGGGGCCCTGATGGTGGGGGGGGGTGGGGGCGGAGAGAACTTCAGCTGGGGAAACTGAGGCAGCCACCAACGAAGCTTTCTGGGAATGGGTCTAATAATGTGTTGCTGTGGTGCTGGAGGAGTGGGAGGATTGGGGGGGGTGGGCGGCAGAGCTTACGGAGGCTCTGGCCTAGAGATCAGCCAAGGGGGGGTTCCCGGGGTTTGTGGAATGCCTGGGATTTGCGAAGTAGCTGGAAAGAATGGTTGCCGGTCTTGGCTAGAGTTGGGGTTAGGGGAAGAAGCAGGGGAAGGGGTGGGGGGGGGCTGGTCTGCAGGGTGGCTGAGACCTCACCTAGTTGTGGTCAGGAGAGTAGCTGAGGTCGGGGAGGAGCAGGCCTGGAGAAGAAACATATGTGGGGGTGAGCCCTGAATCTGTGGAGGAGCTGAGATAGTAGATGGACAGGAGCTGGGAAGGGGGAGGGGCAGGAGCGCATAGAGAAGCTGAAGCTCAGGAGTCGCTGGATCAGGGAGGAGGTGAGCTGGCAAGGATCTGAATCTGGACCTGGGAGAGTGTGCACTCGGGGATTAGCTGAGATCCGGGAAGAGCTGAGGCCCAGAAGTTGGCCTCCACCAGGAGCTGGAGGTCTGGGTAGAATCTAGATTCACAAAAGCGATAGGAAAGAGTCCCAGAGTGCCATACGTGGAGTTGGCCAGGAGCAAGGGTTTGGGGATTATGTAGTCTCTGGGAAGAAGTGAGGACTGAGGAGTATCTGGAGGAAGTTTCTAAGGGCTGGAAGCGTCTGGAAGGAGTAGCTTGGACCTGCAGAGAATCTGAAAGGATTAGTTGAGGCTTGGAGAGTATCTGGGCTTTCTGAGTATCTAGAGGAAGTGGATGCAGCCTGGGGACTACCTGGGAGGAACAGTTGGGAACTGAGGAGTATCTGGAGGGAAGAGCTGGGGTCTGGGGAGTACGGGGGTGACCACCCCTTTGTGGAAAGGCATCTGGGACCCGATTCCACCCGGCCCCCGCTGCCCCCCCCCCCGCAGGGGACACACTGATCGACGGTGGGGAACATTACTGGGAGGTGCGCTACGAGCCGGACAGCAAGGCGTTCGGCGTGGGGGTGGCGTACCGCAGCCTGGGCCGCTTCGAGCAGCTGGGCAAGACGGCCGCGTCCTGGTGCCTGCACGTCAACAACTGGCTGCAGGTCAGCTTCACCGCCAAGCACGCCAACAAGGCCAAGGTGCTGGAACCCCCCGTGCCCGACTGCCTGGGTGTGCACTGCGACTTCCACCAAGGTGACCCCGAGCCCCGAACGGCATCGCGAGCCCCCTCTCCCCGCCCGCTCTCTGCCGCAAGCCCCTCTCATCGCTCCCCCCCCCCCCCCCCCCCCCGTCGCTTTGCCTCCACCCCAGGCCTCCTGTCCTTCTACAACGCCCGTACCAAACAGCTGCTGCACACCTTCAAGGCCAAGTTCACACAGCCCGTGCTGCCTGCTTTCACAGTGAGAACCCTTCCGCGGCGGGGAGGGGAGGGGTGGGGCCGGGGCTGGCTCTGCTCCTGAGCCTGCCCGCCCCCCTCACCGTTCACTGGTCCCCAGGTGTGGTGCGGCAGCTTCCAGGTGACGACAGGCCTGCAGGTCCCCAGCTCTGTGCGCTGCCTGCAGAAGCGGGGCAGTGCCACCAGCAGCTCCAACACCAGCCTCACCTAGGCCACTGGACCGCCCGCCCAGCCCGGCTGAGTTTGGGGACCCCCCCGCAGGCCTTGGTTGTTTCAGCCGACACCTTCTTCTCACTTTGCTGCTTGGAGCCTTAACTCCTGATTGGGGGGGTCACCAACGGGGAGCGGGCACCAGGGCGGGCCCTCGTCCCCACCTCACCTCCTAATAAAAGTCAATCACTGGCCAGGCCATGCTGATGGTTCTTTGGGGTTGGCTGGCACTGAGTGTGCCCCAAACCTCTCTGGACCTCAGCTTTGCTGGCTGTAAAATGGGCCTTTCTTGTAGGGTCAGGTGGCAGGTTTTGCTGAGCAAGTGGGGCCTGCTGTGGGCGGACATCTGACAGACTCTCACGGCCCCCCCACCCCCCGCCCCAAGCCAGGCCAGACACATCGGCCCTGGGGTCACTTGAACTTTTATTCTGGGAGGAGTGGTCAGCCCGGCTGACTTCGGAAGCCCGAGCCCGGCTCACTGATCCCCAGCGTGTCCAGCGGAGTGCTCCAGAGCCCGCCTCCGCTGCAGTTTCTCTTCCAGCTCCGCTGTCAAATCTGCCAACCCTGGGCGGGGGGTGTGTGTGTGTGTGTGACCGAGGCCTCCGCTGCACCAGGGATCTGCAGTCCGTGCTGTCCTCCCAACCCCACACCCACCCACGACGTGCTGCAAAATCTGCGGGGCCCCGTGAAAGGTGAAAATGTACTCAAAAGCCTAGAGGAATTTCAAGATGGCTCAGCGTTAGACCGAGCGTGGGGAGCTTTGGAGTGGGGGGTTCCGTGTGACTGCACAGGCCATCCACCTGGGAGGCCCACCCTGCATCGACCCGCACACGCCTCACCTGTTGTGGGGAAGAGAGTCTGCATTGAGCCGACTGCTAGCTTCTTGGCCAGGTCGCCGCTGAGGCCTTTAGGCTCTGGAGAAGGCAGATGAAGAGGTGAAGGCTGAGGCTGGCTCTGGGCTAGATGAGGGAAGGGCTGGGGAGAGGGACCCCTACCTGGCTTGGGGGCAACGGGTGGCTTGAGTGCCTTTGCCTGGACTTTCGCCAACTTCCTGGGCTTTGGGACCGGCTGACTGGGGGAAAGCACTGTATGGACAAAGGTGTGGTGTGTCACATCCGGCTTTGAGCCCCCTCCCCCTGTCCCCATCTCTCTGTGGCTCCCTCCCCACCTACCATCCCCGTTCATGTAGTTGGCAGCTGGGGCATCTCCAATGGGGATCATGTAGTTCTCCTCCTGGTTCAGAAGTGGGGGTGACCTGCCCTGGCTTGACACAGGTGTGATGGGCACAGGCGGCAGCTGCTTGGGGCCACCCGAGGCAGGTGCAGGCCCTGGTGGGAAACGGCAGTTCTTGTCTGGGCCCACGTGGTGCAGGGACACCTTCGCGGGGGTCTGTTTGCCTCCGAAGGAGGATGCATGTACTCATGCCAGGATTCAGGCATGTGACCCTGTGCATGTGCGTGTCCCTGTGTAGTATAAACATGTACACTGAGTGAATCTGCATAGTTGAATATATGTAAAGGGTTTGTACACACACACCTAAACGTGTGTACGTGCATGACACTGCGTGGATACTAAAGTATGTGCTCAGGTGTTCATCTCCATCAGTGTGCATACCCGTGTACCTCAAAATGTCTGAATTTGCGCTCGTGGGTGAGCATTTGTGTGTGCATGCCTGGTTGTGGCTTAGGTGTGCGTATGTGTGCGACACAGGACTGGAACTGTGGGACACTTGTACTCACGCATGTGTGGAGCCCTTGGCCATGTAGGTGTCTACAAATGAGTTTCTGATTATGCAGACGGACGCAGTCCGTGTTCATGAGTGTACAGAGTGTGTGTGTGTGTGTGTGTGTGTGTACATACATGCCCAGCGTGCACAAGGGTCCCCCCACATCTGCCCAGCCCCAGGAGGACCAGACTGCTTACCCCACAGACCTTTCCAGCCCCTTCTTCCTGCTCCATAAACGGGACCGCCTCCCACCTCAACAGCCACCCGGGATACTCTCTCTGGGTAGTTTCTTGCTCCAGGTGAAGTCCATCTCTACCTACTGAAATCCTTTGAGACCTTAAGCAAACACCCCCTCCTCCAGGAAGCCTTCCTCCTATTCTGCCCTCTTTCTCTGCCCAAGTCTAGGCACCTCTGCTTCCAGCCCCAGGTTCAACCGCACAGGGCTGGGAGTGTACCGGGCTCCACAACCCGGAGGGCAGGGTCTGGGTAATTTCTGGGTCGTTGCAACCCTGCGTACAAGATTGGACACGGGCGGTGCCATGTGGGTCCCAGGTATCTCCCCAGTGTGGCCCAGCGGTGCCCGCAGGGCGGGGGCATCACCTGCGCCCGGCGCTGCGGGGGTCAAACACGCCACCCACACACTCTCGCCGTTCTCTTTATCCGCCTCCACGTGGCCTAGAACAGAGATCGGTCCTAGAGGGGGTGCGGCGGCTGGGCATTGACCCAGGGGTGGCCCGTGGGGGCAGGAGCCGGAGAGGCACGTACTGGGTCCCCCGAGTTCCCTGAGACCGCACCCACCTAGAACCTTCTCGTAGTTTTCGTCCAGCAGGAAGGGCACCAGCGCGTTATTGGTGTGTGACACGAAATAGTTGATCACTGCGTCGAGTGAGGCGCAGGAGAACTGGAGACAGGATAGGGGTCGCAGTTAAAGCTGTTGCGGAAGGGGCGCAGACCCCACCACTACGCACCCCGGGACCCCGGACCAACGCTCACCGGCTCCTCCACGTTGATCACATACTTGGGGCCCTCACGCTTCACCTTGTAATGCCGGACCACCGACTTCCTGCGCAGGCAGTGGTGAGTGGGTGGACCGGCTCAGACCAGGGAGAACCCCGCCCCTTGTCCTGGCTCCGACCCCACGGGGGGCCTAAACTCTTCTTGCTCTCCTGCACACTGACCACGCCGAGTCCTGGAGTGGCTCTGTGCGGAGAACCAGGCCCTCAACTGACTGCACCCTCCAGGAAGACCATGCCACTGGTCCTGCCACTGCCCCCAGGGAGGATCATGCCCTGACGGCTCCACCCAAGAGGCCCCGCCTCCCTACTGGGCTCTGCCTCCCTACTGGGCTCCGCCCCCGGGGTTCTGACTCCACCTTCAACTGGCCCGACCCCTCACCAGACTATCCCAAAGGAAGCTTTAATATCAGTCTCTGATCCGCCCCCAGAGTGGTTCCATCTCAAAAGCCTGATTCAACCACCACAGGGAGGGCCGGGACATGACTCCACCCTCAGGGTCCTGACTCCGCCCAAGGGACTGATTACCACCCCTGGATTTGATTTCTTCCCTGCTCCAGATGCCCAGACCCAGCTCCGACTCCGCGCCGAAGAGCCGATCCTAATCCAAAGGTCTGACCTCGCCTATAGAGTCCCGTCCCGGCTCCAGGATCTAACTCCTCCCCCAAGGGGATCCACCGCCTTGCCTGGCCTCTAGCCCCGCCCCCAGGCTTTGACACTACACCCATCCCGGGGCGGGGCCAGCCTCAGGACCTCTTGCCCCGGGAGCTCCGGACCCGCCCCTAGGGACTACCCCGTCCCAGCTCTAACTCCGCCCCCACGCTCGCTCCTCCTCCCTCCCCGGCTCCGGCTCCGGCGCCGCGCAGGCGCACCCATTGAACGTCTGGCGCGTGGTGACCGACACGTCGTCCGCGCCATCCCCGCTGGGTCTCAGCAGCAGGTTTCCGCAATCGGGATAGCGCTCCAGGAGTAGCTGCGCCTCCAGCCGGCTCACCTTCATGAAGCAGCTGGGGAGGGCCGCGTCCCTCACTCAGGGCAGGCCCCGCCCCTGGATCCCAGCCCCGCCCTCCCGCGAAGCCCCGCCCCCCAGCGCCTGGACCGGGCCGCGTACGCTCGGCTGGCCTTCCCCCAGTCTCCGGCCTCGCGCTTCCGTCCGCCGCCGTCCCGAGGCCGCTCGGCCCGGCGGGGCACTCACGAGGGCACTTCGAACGCGCGGCGCGCCTCCTCTTTGGCCAGGGCCTCGGCCATCATATACAGGTGTCCGGGCAGCAGGGTCAGGTTCGACGGGACACGCAGCTGAGGGTTAGCGGGGCGCCCGAGGACGCCCGGCCGTTAGGGCACGAGCGGCTTGTGCCCGTGTCACCGACGGGCACCCTGAGACCGGGGTGCGGGCCGAGCCAGGATGGGAACCCGCGTTCTGCAGCCACCCAGGGCAGGGGCAAAGAGGCTTTGGAGGGGACGTGAAGACACCTCGCTGATGGGGAGGACAGATCAGATGCTAGAATAAATGTAGGGTCTTAAACCCAGCGGCCTGCAGGGGCCAGGCAGAGGACAAATGACTAAAAGGGAAATCAGGAATGTTGACAAAAACTCCAGGCTTTTAAGTAATGGCAGGTAACTTTTACGTATTTTACGTCTGTGGGCTCCACCTGGCCGCGTGAGAGGAGGCTGGTTTGAGGGATGTAGGGTGGAAAGAGGAAAGAGGGTTCTGAGCAAGCGCCCGCTCTTACCTCGACCACCGTCAGGATGAAGCCTTTCCACATCTCCCGAGACTCCAGGCTCTCTACCTGGGGAGGGAAAGCGAAGGAGTCCATGTCAATGAGCCTCGGCCCATTCATCTGTGAAATGGGGATGAGGAATACTAGTAGTTTTCAAGGTTAAATGAGTAAGGACGTGTTAATTTAGGACGTCTGAACTTAAGTCGTTAGTAATGTGGGATGCTATCCTGTAATGTCACTGAATCAACATTTATTTATTTGTCTCTTTTATTTATCCTACATCAACTTTTTTTTTAAGACCTTATTTATTTTGAGAGGGAGTGAGCGAGAGAGCACGAGCAGGGGGAGGGGCAGAGGGAGAGGGAGAAGCAGACTGCCCGCTGAGCAGGGAGCCCTACACAGGGCTCCGTCCCAGGACCCTGGGATCATGACCTGAGCCGAAGGCAGATGCTTAACCGACTGAGCCACCCAGGCGCCCCTGGTTTGTGTTGTTTTAAAAGTCCTTCGGCTCAGGTCAGGATCCCCTGAGATGCAGCGCTCCATCAGGCCCCCTGCTTCTCCCTCTCCCTCTGCCCCAACCGCCACCCCCTCTTGTACGCCCTCTCTCTCAAATGAATAAATAAAATCTTAAAAATAAATAAGTAAATAAAATAAAACAACATAAATCAGATCATGTATCTCCATGTATCCCTAAACCCTCCCAGGACTCCCGCCTCCTTTGGAGTAAAAGCTCAAGTCCTCCCCAGG